ACCCTGCTTGCAAACCAACAAGTTAACCTGCCACACACACACACACACACACACACACACACACACACGAGGGGTAATAAAAAATACAGTGAATGTTTACATTAAAAATTTTAGTACAGTAAAAAAAATTACCATTAACTCCCCTCAAAATACTTAAAAAGTCCCCCTCACTTCAAACATACTTATCCCATCTTTTTTAGTAATGTGCCTTCTACTGTAATTTTTAAAAATTTAAACATTCGCCATATTTTCACTCACTATATATATATATATATATAAAAGCTTCATATTTAATGGAGTGAATCATAGAGAAGGAATCCTGAAATTGGGAAAATTGGATCAGATAGAGGACTGCCTCCTTTCTACAGATAGAGATGGCTCATTACCTTGGAATACAAGCAAATTGTGGGTGCGTGGAGGTCTTTATCTTTATCACCCTGGGTGTCTGTAGAGAGACGTCAGTAGGCTTTATTACCCTAGAGTGCCCCTTATGTGAACATTGGCTAGAAATGCCTGTGCTCAGCGGTCTGGAACTTGCAGGAACATGAGGAATCCATGAATAAATGTCTCCTGGCAGTCACCTGCTTGCTTAAACTCTTGACGGCTTCCCTCAGCAATTAAAACAGCATCCACCCCTGCCTTTTTAGGGCCCAGGAGGTCCTACTTGATCTGGCTCTCACCTGTCTTTCCAATCTCCCTTCATTCTTCTCCAGTACGCTCCGGCTGCTGCACTGGCCTTATCCTGTGCCTTGGACATACTCAAGTTTATCTTCACCTTAGAGCCCTTGAACTTGCTGCTCCTGCCCATGACCAGCTTCTCATTTTGGACACAGCTCCAGGGTCACCTCCTCAGAACGGCTTTTCCTCCCCAACTCCAGTTCTCTCTGTCACATCACCATTGAATTGCCCTTATGCTCCCTTTCATGACTTTCCGCTCACTTCTCAACCCCTGCCTGTCTTCCCTTGCAAGAAGGTAAGTACTTTGGGGGTGATGAACTTCCTTTGTGCTCAATTTTTAATCTAGAAGCTAGAATTCTGTCTGGGTTATTTCAGGAAATATTTGTTGAATAGATGTGAATGTAAAATAGAAATAATCATAGCTATTTTTATAGACTCCTAGATAATAAAATTAATGTGAATATGTTTTATAAACAGTAAAGTATAAAGGAAATGTACTAATAGAAATATTAAGCTGGGAGTGGTGGCACATGCCTGTAATCCTAGGGCTCAGGAGGCTGAGGCAGGAGGATCACTTTGAGTTCAAGACCAGCCTGGGCTACATAGTGAGTTCAAGCCCAACCTAAACTATACAGTGAGACTCTGTCTAAAAAAAATGAAAAAGAAAAGAAATATTAATATTGGGTCCAACCACGTAGAGATTGAGGTAAAGTCGGATATAAGGATTATCCCTATTGTGCTTGAACAGTCATCAATGTACTCCAGAACATAATGTTCTCTGCCAGAGGACATATACCAAAAACAAGTCTATTTTTAACTATGTTGGTTCTTGCTATTTCCATAGGCGTGTTACTTTCCATCCATTTATGAAAAACTATAGAATGCATAGATGAATTTCATAGTGCTTTCATTCCTTCAGAACTTAGTTAAATATGCGACTAGATATTCAGCAGTGGAATTAATTACAAATTAACTGAGTTGAGTTAATTGTGCAACATATGATTAAAACTACTATTTGAGTATAAAGATTAACACCTAATATTATTCTTTTATCCACTCAACAAATATTTATCGAGAAACTTCAGTCTTTAAGATGTCGTGCTAAGTTCTAGGGACCCTGGGGACTTATTAATGAAGATGAGTTTCTACCTTCAAGGAGTTCAGTTTACTACCAGATAGACAGATAGATGAATAAAATTGCAAAACATAAGGTAATACTAAGATCTTATACCATAGGTTGAAGGACAAAATTTGTATTCTTTTTCTGATTTGGGCTCACAACTTATCTTCTCAATGAGCCTGTTTCCTCATCTATGTGAATAGTCCCTGCATGTGTTACACGTGTGGAAGGTTGAGAATATATGGTTCACATGATTTTAATGTCCTCCTTCCAGATTTTCTTCCTTTAACAAGGATGGAAGGCTTTCTTCCTAGCTGTAAATAGCTTCTATTGGTGGGGAAATTGGGACCTGTCAAATCTCTCAGTGCTAAGATCAAGAGAGACTACATAGGCAAAACAAATTGTTTTGTAAACCAGTGTAAGTCAGTATTATCCACCAGATTCTCATCACCAATAGTAACTGAGTTCCTGCTATGCGTAGGACACTGAGACGGGTACTGCAGCTGGAGTAAGAATGTCTTTTAGGAAAGCAAGAAGAGACAAAGTTGGAAATTAGAATGGAGATCACATTGCAAAGTGCATTAAAGTCTGGACAAAGAAGTTCAGACTCGAGCCACAGAGAAATGAGTGAGATTTAAACGGGCACAGAAGGGCAACGGGGGCGATCACTATGGTGACTGTCTTACTTGGTAGTACTTTGTGGGGGTCACCACGCAGGTTGCACTGTCCCAGGGAATGTGATTAGAACACAAGCCAGGAAAATATCAAAGGGAAGGTTGGGGAAGGGAGATCGACAAGAGCATTATATTGTTTATATTGTGTCTTTGAGCAATTTGGCCATTCTGGGTTTAAATCGCCTCCTCTATAAAATGAGGATAATATTAACACCTACCTTATCAAGTTTAAATGTATACCAAGAACTTAGAACAGTTATCTAGAAACACATACACACCCCATAAAGATTAGCATTATTCCCATTAAAATCTTTGTGATGTGGCTCACAGAGTTCTTCTACACCAGACTCTTCTCATAAAGCCAGGAAAACTGAGTGTCCATTGTAGCTATAAGGCTTTTGGGTAGACACTCCCATACCTTTTCACTTTAATGACCTTGAACTTTGGTTGGGGCCCTTCATCTCTGCATTTATTTCGAGGACCCTATCTTGGATCTCATTATCACCCAGACCCATTTTACCTAAAAATCTTAAGCCACAATACTCTGCTTTCTCCATATTCTGGCTCTCACAAAAATTCATTTTTTGTCTTGAGAGAGGAGACACCCCTCCATATGGAATTGGGCAACTATGGGTTAACTAGGTAACTATGCTCTTTGTAGAATGTACCTGAGCAGCCATGACAACTTCTGTAATCTGTCATCAAAGGAGCGTAACGGACTCAGAAAGTCCTGCCAGAACTCTGCTTTCCCCTCTCCACTGCTCTGCTTTGTGTAAATCCTGCTTGCTGTATTCCCAGGGAAACTCCAATAGAATTATGCTTCATAGATGTAAAAAGAGGAATATAAGGAAACACAAACTTCTATTTGGGGCTCTGGAGACTGACAGGAGTCACTTGCGGAACTGCTGGGATCATTAAAAGCCACTTTTGCTCCTATCTTTGCGTTAAAGAGTTATCTGTGCCAGAGTCCTCACTGTTTCTTGCTTCAGTCACACCAGGTTTTCAACCTCAAAAAACTCATCTCTTTCACCCTCAATTTTCTCCCAATGAATGGGCTCCTTACTAGCCCCTCTTCTCTACTTCATCTGAACCCCTTTGTTGGTTATCTGAACTTCATCTCTATTCTCCCTTCAAACCACTATGGTATGAATTCTGTCTCTCCATCTTCTGCTCTAGCTGTACTCTCTCCAGTGAAGTTCTGAGATGCACGTATTTCCGGTGCCCTATGGGCTTCTCTATTGGATACCCTTGTTCCTGCTGTCTTTGAAACATTTTGCTCCTTTAGTATCCATGATAATGCCTTCTCCAGGGGTTTCTGTAACCCTCTGTCTATTGTTTTTGCTTCTTTATGGGCTTTGTTTTGTTTTAATCATCCCTTAGATGCTGCTGTCCCATTCTTAATTTATTACTTCTCTTATGCTGCACACTTTACCAGAGCAAACATGGGTGATTTCACTCTTTCTTACGGTTTTAACCACGACTTACATGTCAGTTATCCACAGATCTATACCAACACATCCCTCTCTTTAAGCTCCAGGTCTTCACATCCAGCTGCTCTTGACACCTGTGGAAACATAACCCACTGACATTTCAGATTCAATGTGCCTGAAATGCAGCTCAACATTTTTCTTCCTAAACTAGTTCATCTGACTGTTCTGTTTCATTTTTCAGTTGGCAGCACTCCTTTTATTCAATCACACAAACTAGAAAGCTAGCAGATATCTTAGATTTCTTCCCCTGCCTTCCCTACTCCCCATGTCCAAGCAATCATTTACACTAACTGAATTTACCTTCTAAATACTTCTGGGCTCCATTCCCTCCTCACCACCCTAAGATGGGTGCTCATTTTCTCTTGCTTTTCTTGGACCACTGTGAGTGTCTCTTAATTTCTATGCATTTAATCTTGGACCTTACATGTTGATTCTTTTTCTTCTCAGTTCACATCCATGCTGTGTCGTAGGACACTAAGGTTTCTCCACAATCTGGCACCTGGCAAATTCTCTACTGTCATCTTTTGCCATTCTCTGTCTCGCACTTTACACTCCAGAAAATTTCAACTGCTTTTGTTCCCTGACTTTGCTCTGCTCCTCCAGAGTTGCAGTTCTTGGTTTTTGCAATGTGTATTTCCTGGAAGGCCCTGAGCACCCGTCCCTCCTATACACACTCCCCTTACTGCTCAGGTTTAGTATCACTTCCTTTGTTAAAGGAAAGGAAGGAAGGAAGGAAGGGAGGGAGGGAGGGAGGGAGGGAGGGAGGCCAAGAAGAATCATTATGTCATGGGAAAATATAACTTTCAAATACAACAGTATGTTTAAATAAATTGATAAGAAAATAGAAATATAAACACTTTGATTATATCTTGGTTAAAATTAAAAGGAATTAGAGGTCAGAGTCAATCTGATATCTTAGGGACAAAATCCTGTTACATCAAGTATTAGTTATTAATAAAGAGGTGAGCTAGGAAGCATTTTCACTCCTATAAGCTTTGTAGTACAAAGAGCAAAGAATCATTCTGGGGAGAAAGGGGCCTTTATACTCTTTGAAATGTGCGGGCCATGTCCCTTGCTATGCTCTCTACAAAGAAGAAAGGAACCTCCTGAGATAGTCACAACCTCATTGTGTGCTCTTATTTCAAGGATGATCCTAAAAGCTAAATAAAATTTCCTGGAATGTAAACTTTAACCTCAAAGCATGTAAAACAGTGCACTGTTTATTTAATCTATATTTGTTTTAGGGACTGGAATTTGCTCACTTTCATTGTAAATTAACTGTTAATCTTATTCATCATTACATAAATTGTAGAGAAGTATAGAAAATTATTCAGCCCCCTCAGTCTAGTTTCTTTTCATGCAGATATTGTGGTGCATAATAAAAATAAGAGCTTGCAGCTGACTCAAACCCAAAGATGGTAAGGAGTCTACCTTCTTTGAACACATATTATCCCACCTTTTTAAAAATTTTATTTTATTGGTACACTTTAGGTTTACAATATAATGACATTCATCATTGGAAATTTGCTCATTTACATAATCTCTCTTCGGTCTTATTTTTTCCCCATTCTCCTCCCCAACTTTCAACTCCTCCATCCTCCCCATTTACAAAGACTTTGTTTCCATTTTTCCATTTTCTCATATTAATCCCATTCCCTTCTGCCCTTTCCCCTACCCCTCCCACATCCCCTTTGCCCCTTTTCTTCCTATTTCACATTATCTATTATACCTTT